GTCCCGTGATGAATTAGTGATTTAAGCTAAGCAGTTACATTAGGGACGTTATAAGCAATATGATAGATATTTACATAATTATGGATTTATGTTTTTAAATGTTTGCTGTAGAGAATGAGAATGAAGGTGCTGGAGTAGGAAAGGGAGGAGGAGGAGAGACTGACGGGCAAGAGACAGGTGAGAGACAGGAGAGACCATGAAGGTGATGAGGGAGCAACAACCAGCTTCCACAAACAAGAAGGGGACATTAGTGACTTAGGGGGAAAGCATGATGGTCCTAAACAAGTGAAGTTGTCCCACTATCCCCAGGACAAATTTGGAGTAAAAAAACGTTAATTTAATTCAAAATGGTTTGAGCTTTTCCTGGTTAAAAAAGAAAGCCTTGTCATCAAGGATATGCAGTGTGTTTTCAACTTGCTTGATAACATCATGTTCTCCACACTAACGCAGGTCATCCAGATCTCCCTCACAATCCCAGTCAACAGCTGTAGTTGTGAAAGGTCATTCAGTGTGTTGAGAAGGCTCCACACTTGGCTGAGGTGCACAATGGGACAAGACAGGCTCCATCATCTTGCTATTTTATCAGTTGAAAAGGAAGAACTTTCTAAGCTGAGTCACAAGTGATTGACCACTTTGCAAAAATGATAAATAGAAGGAACACTTTAATGCTCAATAAATAAAATAAAAACTTAGTTAATGTTGAGTTAAACTTTCCCCTGAACTAAAACTCTGTAACCTAGGAATTAATGATTACTTCAGAATGTGTATAAGGAAACTTTTTATTTTTAAAGTCGGTGATGTCTTATTTTTTATAGCTGCAATGTTGAAAATGTTCATGTTTGTTAAAACAAATATGCTCTTACACTCATTAATATCTCAACTGGTAATTTTGGTAGGAATGTATCAGGGTTGGGCAGTGTGCTTGTCTGTATTTATGTATGGAAGGAGGGGCATATGCACTAGGGGGCCAGTGCCCCAGTAAAGCTTTGTGCCTAGCAACGCCCCTGTACTGTGGGCTGTCGCTACAAGCATGCTTAGTGTGAGGGATTGCCTTTGAGTCAATCATTCGATGCAATAAACTGGTTTTGCTTAGATAGAAAACTTTGAATCAATTTGACTGGATGATCTGGTTGAACTGTAAAGTGCCTTGAGATGACATGTATTGTTAATTGGTGCTATATAAATAAACTGAATTGAATGAAATTGATTAAACACACGGAAAACTCTGGTGTGACGATTTTAACTTTCTTTACTTTTTCAGGATGTGGAGGACACTCTGTAAATAATGGATCCATGCATTCTGCTTTCTCACCAAGTCAAAATCCTGTGAAGGAGAATTTTTAGTCTCCTTTTGGGACTTTCATTTGAATATTGATAAAATGCATTGGAGCACGTTCACCTCTGAATGGTGAAAAAAATGTTTATTAAAAACTATTTTGGCAAAACCAGTTAGTTTTAGGGAAGCTGTGTTTTCAAATATGTCCATCTTATTTCTTTTCCTTTAATGCATGTAATCATTCTATTAAACAATCCCTGATTTTTATACCTACTTTATCTTGCTCTGGTACTAAATCTAAAAAAGATAAATCTGACAAACAAAATAAAGTAAAAACAGCTGAAACCAGGGATGGGTCAAAAACCTTTTTCTTAGTGACAGATTTATAGGATTGTATGATTTATAGCTTTCTAACTGTAACAGTATGTGAAATGTTTTTATTTTTTTTTATACCCAAGACTAAAAGTTCTCCTCGGATTATGTGCAAAGGAAACGCTGCAAGAATGTGAGAAGAGAATGAAGCACTTTTGTTCTTAGACGCCGGAAGGCAGAACATAATTTCTCTGGTGTTCTGGAGAAACTGCAGACCTTCGGGTCCTTTCTACCCGTGAATTGATTTAAGGATTCCCTGCCAGAAAACATAAAAGATGAGCTTATAATAAAAAAAAATAATTTATTTGGTTTGAGAACCAAATAAATTAAAATAAAAACCTTGTAAAACAGCAAAGTAGAACCTGATGAACACTTATGCTTTTTTCAGCAGTAATGTAAATCTTGTTGCTTCACCTAAAGTGATTTGTTTTGCAGGTTCTACCTTTCTGTGCTCTCCACACTTTAAGATGCCATCCCATATTCTGTGGTTTTAATTTGACCCTTTCTAAAAGCAGCCGTCTCTCCTTTCCAGTGCTAATTTTAAAGTGCTCCTCCATCCAGATAAAATTACAATCCCAACAAACTGTAATTAATCAGCCTCAGGCTGGAATATCGCGTTCCTCACACAGAGGATCCTTTTCTTCCCTGGAATCTTCTGGAGAAAAAAATAAAATGATGTAAAAAAAATATTCTTTTTATTTCTGTAAGAGGAGGAGAAATGTAAGGTGTAGAGTGAAATGTTAGTCTTTGAGTTCCAGTTTGCATTTAAGCTTAAAATATATAGTTTTCTGAGGTGTTTGGGTAATTGTTTTGTTGTCAGGTTTTTTAAATGTTGGCAGTTTACGGCGTCCCAGTGTCTTAAATTCAAATTTAAGGCCTTATTTAGACACAGCACTAATTTTTCCCCTTAGAAGATGGTTACTTCCCTTTCCCAGCAGGGATTAGGATGCTAACATTTATGCAACAAGAATTTTAAAATAAAAAACTGGATAATCTGTTAAAATATCAGTCAAAAACGTATCAGTGTAATATCTGCTTCAACTTTATAGCTTAAGTCTGCTGCTATTACAGTAGGCAGCCTCCATTAGCTGCTAGCTTAGTAATCACTTTATGTGAAATTAAACTAAAAAGTACTAAATGTTAATTTGTGAATGAGTACAGGTACATTTTAAAATCAGAATAATAAATGTATATTTACTATTTAAACATGCTGGCTTAAAGCGAATTAAATGAAAAATAAATGCAGTGTCTTAGAAAATAATTTTTTTTACATTAAACTTAGTATTTTTTCTTTTCTTTTCTAGCTCTCAATGCCTATTTTTGGCTTTTTAGTATGAATTAATGCAGCAATGCGGCTTGACACAGTGCCTGTCAGCCAGTGTTTCTGCTGAGGTGTTGCTTTGATTGCAGCATTTATGTTATCTGCATCGTTTGCATCAGGTGTCTTTTCTAAAAAGTCTTCTGACCCAGACAGAGAGAACATTTAGATATTTAGGGTATTGCAGATGTTTTAGGTTGAGCTGGTTTCATACAATGAGTTTCCAATAACATTTTAACAATATCTTTAACGCTTAAGTCCTAAAATAAGAGGTTTTTGAAATCTTTTAGCCAAAATCTTAAAAAAATTTGAAGACATTAAGGCTTAAAAAAGTTCAACATATGTGTAAAAAATATATATATGAAGTTCACTTTCTAAATCAGCAGCAAAAAAAAAAAATTCTAATATTTTATATTTTACTTGTAGATTCTCTCTAGATAATTTTATACGATATCAATTCTGGTGGAAAAGTAAGTGTTGATCAAAAGCTAAGTTAGCTTTAGCCATACAGATATGATTCAATTTAATAGTTTATGTTTAAACTTAAATGAAATGTGATCTCATAAGACTAAATCTCTGTTAAAGATTCAGAAAATGATCCACTCCTTAAAGAACTTTAGTGTGAGCTATACTGATATAATCTTCAAACTTCAAATGGACATTTAGGCTATGCCTAAGAAATTTTGCCAGAGGATCTTGACTGTTTAGCTTTAGTATGGTTGTTGGATTTAGTCCATCTAAAATCCTTCACAAACATGAATAGTTTTTTATTCAGAAAATGGCTTCATGGGTGGATATATACTGTATATATCCATCCATTCAGCCATTTTCTCCTGCTTAGTCCTTGTCAGTATCGCAGTGGTCGAAATGCGGGCGAAATTAGGGGTATACCCTGGACAGGACGCCAGTCTGTCGCAGAGCAATATATAGAAACACAACCATGCACACTCACAGCTAAGGATAATTGAGAGAAGCCAATTAACCTCACAGTCGTGTTTTGTACTGTAGGAGGAAGCCAGAGTACCCGGAATGAACCCACGAATGCACAGGGAGATTATCATTAATGTTACTAATATACATACTAAATATTAGTAATTTTTTCTGACTTATGAAAAAATATGAGTTTTGCATTTTGCATCTACCCATTTATCAAAACAAAAAACAAAAGTAAAACATTGTGTTAGTTTTCTATCTTAATATAGTTAATAAAAACAGAAATAAAGTATTAAATATTTATAAACTCAATGGTGAAAAATTATGAAAAAGATCCCAGCCAAACAGTTTTCTTTTTTAGCATTAGTTGCAATCAACTTGCTACAATAGCAAATGCAACCAAGCTGCTGCAGCAGTAAGCTTATTCTCTGATTTAAACAGTTTTTAACTAACCAAATAAATGATTATTACATTACCTTCAAGATCGTGATTCTTAAACCACAGACACGCAATTCTGCTCTAAAAAAAAAAAAAAAAGCCTATTCCGTTCTGTTTATGTAATGGATAATTGCTTACTAAAGCTGTTTATGTACTGAGCCTTCTTATGAGGTTTAGGGCTCACCTAAAGTATTAATTTAAATATTGTGAAGTACAATGTTTTATTCAAAAACAGCTTTTTTTTCAAACAGGCACAACAGTTTGAAATAAAAATGTTAGACTTTCTTTCTATAGAAATGTTAAATAACAAAAAGTAAGCTAATTACCCTAAATAGACAGTTTTTGGTTAGAAAGTACAATGTTTGTGGCAAATTTTAAAGACTTCCTGAAGTAATTGTCACATATGTCTGTAGAACTCTCGAGCTATCCGATCTGTTAGCGGTCTAACAGCTTGATCGAAAAGTCAAAGAATTCAGCTGTAAGATTGTAAGAAACAAAAAAATGATCTTTTTTGTAAGTGTTGACAGTCTATCAGAGAACCTTAAAATCTGGTTAAATATGTTTTACATTTAAATGCAAACAATATTTTTGTGCAGGTATATTCAGCATTACAACTCTGAACAGAAACCTGAAAGATGGAATCCAGCCATCATCTTTATCTAGCTGCTTTTTCTGGTCATAAATAAATTGGTAATAAAACAAAATATACTGACGACCGTCACTTGGCAGCACCTTTTCCTTCAGCCGTAAGCAGCTTTATACTTCATGCCGGACATTTTCTATCCACTAAACTGGCAGCAACCTGTGTATCCAAACATGCCTTCGGTAACCTCTCAACTCTTTCCTGTTTCCTTTCCTGGTCTTCTAGTGTTTTGTTTGTTAGAGACAATCTCATATTGCCACTGTAATTCTAACCACCACCTCCTTGGAGGCCATTTTTACCGTCAGGATAACGTTAGTCTATTAATGATTGCATCACCATCACTAAGCTGAACCCTAATGTCAGCCTGCTCCACATGGACGCGGCCGTGGCACAACCTCCTCCAGGGTGTACTGTGTAATTACAGGAAGGGCTCGGCTCAGGTAGAGCGGGGAAAGTCGCTGAGGCGATGTGTCGTAACATGAAGTCATGCTTCATGGCAGAGTACTGATCTGGACCATACGGGACTCTGAGGGTTTCTGTCAGAACCTCATGACCCGGGTACCTCACCTGTGCATTGAAAGGATCAGATAATTAAAAGGAATGTACACAATAGTACAATAGTTTTACTTCAAATATTACTGTAGCAATTTTATGGTAATATGTCCAGAACTTATAATGTAATTTCAAAGTTGGAATGTAATAGCAGGTGATGTGTAACTTTACAGAACCAATAGGTTGCTTTACTGGACACTACAGAACAACCTTCTGGGTACCTTTTTTGGTAATTGTTGGCATTTTCAACATTTATCTACAATATTTAAAAAACTTCTTTCAAAAGCATAAATGTAACTTTTATGGAATTCACATCATCCTTCTCCATCAAAACACTGGTAGATGTTGTTACAGCATCAGGGTCATCATTTAGTTGTTCTAAATAGTGAGCAATGGCTTTATCAATTACTGGTGCATTACAGAGACACGTCAGATGATGTGTCTTTGATACGGTACAAGGTAAACATTATTTTTAGAGATCCATATAATGTGGATAAATAGAAAATGTAGAGTGAATAGTGTTATTTTTCTTTCTAAGTAAGAGATAATTGCATATATCAGTCGTCTAAGGTTATATGGTCTTCATTTGCTGTCCCAACATTAATTCAAGGATATAAAGTATTACAAACATTTTAGAAGATATTAAAACAAATTTCCAGGAATTACATTTTTATGTGCTCAAACTTTCTCATGTCATTTCACGAATTGAAAGGTTTTGGGTACTTACACAATCTGGCATCAAAATGCAAAATCAATTAATATTTGATTTTGTATCTTGACAAATCTTAACGATCACTTTCCTAACGGTTCTTGTCTTTCTTTCTGCCTCCACTGGAATCTTTCTTTGAAATTTGTAATTTCCGTCTTTTTCTAAATGAACAGTATCATTTAATCATTTCTAATAAAAGCATAGCATGTGTTTTTGTTGTAGCCTTACTTTAAAGGTGTAGACTCCAGGCACAAGCAGCCGGTAATATTCTCCATGTTGGTTGGTTCTGAATGGACACATATTTTTGCGACCCTCAACCTCCACCACTGCGTTTGGCACCGGTTTACCCGAACCATCGAACACTTGGCCTTTCACTCCTAAAACAAATGGAGATTCATCATTGTGAGCCCAAAATCAAGGGTATAATGTGATGACAGGCTTCAGCGGAAACAAATAAGTCAAAAGATGAGCATGTGGATAGGGTCTCACCCAGGTGGACCTGCTGAATATAAGCCAGGAGAGCCTTTTTGTTGTCTTCCCATAAGGAAGGAAGTTCTTTCACTTGAGGAAACTTGCAACAGGAAAGCTCCAGTGTCAGCTCCAAACACTGTGCCCATACATAGTTGTAGTCCTGCATCCCACCTGGAAACGCATTTATATTTCTATTTTAAACAAAACATTCTACCAACACCATCTAGTGTTGGGGAAAAAAAACATCCAACAGTGATGGGAAACAGCAGAAGGATTCTGAGAGAATTGTTCTAAAATATGATATCAAAATATGTTGTTAGATATATTATAGACATATTAGATAAGAATGTTTAACCTCTTGTTAAAATTTCTGAGGTATTCTATATCATAGAAGGCATAGAAGAAGTTAAGGTTAATAAGAAAGTGGGGTCATAAAGATTGGTGAAAAATATTACTTTTACTTCTAAAATAAATATAAAACAAAAAAATAGCTTTAAAACTGAAAAAGAAAAGATTTGAACCTGATGAAAACATTTCAAAACTGAAAGGGAATGCTTAGGATATTTCTATTCCCACAGTTCTTGAATGCAACACCTGGAAATATTTTCCACAGACACCCAAGTTGTCTTCCACTATTCCACACCCAATGAAACAACAACAAAAAAAGTAGTGTTAAAAATGTATTTTAAGTTTAAAATATTTTTTCCCTTAATTTCAAAATTATTATAGCATTGAACTAGCCTGATAAACTAGCCCAACTGCCAGCTGCCAAATCATTTTTGCCTGCGAGTGGTCTAGCCTCGATCAATCCCCCAGGCCCTAAAACTGGCGGGCCAATCACAACGCAGAGATGTGCTTTGAATTTTTGGATGCAAAGTGGGCAGGGTTTTCAGGGTGTGACGACAAAGCTGAGCGACGCTGGAGAAACTACAACAAGGAAGATGGCAACAACTATTGAACAGTAGCATGCACTGCGGCAGCTGCAGCTTTCAATGGAGCGCTCCATTGAAAGTTAAAAGGTCTCTTTTCTGTTGTTCAATAAAAGTAAGTTTAAGATCATTTGAGGCGAGAATATTATACTTTAAAGCGTCAGTATATGGTCCATTTATCGGTTTCATGCGTAATTAAAATTATGCAGCGTGCTCCCGTTCTCACCAAGTCCATACTTTCCAGTATTCTTCTCAAGAACATACTTGGCGAGGACACGAGTCTGTACTCATGAATTCTAGTGAATTGAGAAACATCCAAGCTCATTTGTCTCAGTTTTGGAATCAGTTTTTGAAGGATTAGACTTGGGGTATTTGTTGAAACGTGAGCAGGTAGAGGCTCTAAGCTCATTCACTTTTAAGAAGGACGTATTCGCCGTTTTACCGACAGGCTGGCTATTTACACTCCCCCACCAGCTTTCTGTCATGCTTACCACGTCACAGTCAGAGCATTGGCCAATAGGCACAGAATTGGTTTGAAAAAAAAAGGGTTGTTCTCATCAACAATCTTCCGGATCAAATTCATTGAGGCTAGACTAAATTACACATTTAATCTCACATTTAGTCTGGTTTATCAGGCTAGCTCTGAACATCTCAGAGAACTCTATTAAATTATCCATTATGTGTAGATTAAAGGTACAGGGTAATCTTTTATTTCCGGATGGATCAACTAAATAAGTGGTCCTCCTAATTTTCAATCGTTGTGGTTTACGTAAGGCCGTCCTACGCGATCGTCACATTAGCTATCTTTTTCTGTGCATGGGCACTTTCAGGCATATATCTGTGGTGAGCTGCGGTTTCAGACAGTCATTAAAGCTCGCATTTCTCACAGCGGTTCCTTGAAAATGGCAGAGGGTTGTAACAGAAAAAGTGGCTACTAAGTGTTTGAGAAGAATAAAAAGGCCTCAGAAGAGACAGATATATCGGCTGTCACAGCGGCCTGCTGTCACCATAGGCTGTCGCTACCTGACAGAGGCGACTAATAACAAAGATGGCGCAAGCACCGCGCAGTAGAGAAGGAGTGACGTGACCAACGGACACAAATCAATTAACTGAGTTCACTGTAAAGTCCACCATATAGTACCCGCTCTATATAGTGAATGAGGGGTTAGGGAGGACGTTTGGACAAAGTAAGGTATGAGAACCGCAACAGAGCGTGTACGATAAGAAATGGGCTCGTTCATGCTCTCGCATAGGTTTAACAGGCGTTCCCCCAGGGTTGTGCATGTGTATTTTTTTTTACAGCGGTGGGTCTTTTAAAAGAATCGCGAAAATCCTCCACAATACCTTTAATCTAAGAGCGGTAGCAGTAAAATTCGATTAATTTGACTCTTGAAGCTACAGAGGTCCATCGTGGCTCAATCTACTGACAGAAGAACTAAAACACAGACACTTCTAGAATATATGAGGTGAGAAAATGCATGGCGCTAAATCCACTATTGGAGGAAAACCTGTTTGCGGCTGCGGAAGACCTGGAACCGGATTGAAGTGTGAGAATGGCCTAGTCAAAATCCAGATGTAATCTCAAATGACAATTCTTGGCAAAATGTGAACAAGTTCATGTGGTAAGAATAAATCTGACCGATGTTTGATGCTTCATTGCGCCATCTGCACCCAGAGAAAAAGTGGTACAACAAAGTTCTTCTGATTTTAATGTTTCCAGATAAATCCACTTTTCATTTTCTTTGTTATGTTTGAAAAGTGTGTGGCTTTTGGTCTGAGATACTTTCATGATAGTAATGTGGTTTGCCTTTTATCAAGTCAATTCTAATAGCCCTCCTCTATAGTTTAGTTTTTTTTTTCCTAAATCCCAGTTTTAATGCTTATCAAACAGACTTCAACCTTACATGGAGCTTTGCCCAAACCTGAAATCTTTTAGAAATGCAGAATGGGGGGAAGCTTACTGTACCTTCCAAAGGGTACCAGTGGTATCCATTGGTTATGCCATCCCGGAAAGGTCCAGTGTCGTCACACAGGTTTCCCCGATGCATGGAGGCATGGTTGTATGAGTAAACCTTAGCCAGGTGAACAAACACATCATCGTCTGGGGAAAGGCTGGCCGCGCCAAAGAAATCCGAACCTGGAAAATCAAACATGGAACTGGACAATTAGCTCAAACTCATTCTGTTTTTTTTTCCTCTATGGGACTTTACCGTCCCTATAAAGATGGCACAGAAAACAACAAAAATCACTATCCAAAAGAATATATATATATTTTTTTTTTACCTCTGTCACTGTTGTCATAAGGATAACTGGCTACCAACGCTCCTCCATGAAGGTTCGCAGACAAAACAAAAGTTTCCGTCTTTAACCAGCCAATCACAGCTCTCACCTGAATAAAATAAAGACATCAGTTCATCAAAATAACATTAAAGATGGTTTATATGAGTTTAAAAATCACATTTAACTTGAACTACTTTCAGTTGCGGATCAATCCACACACGGTTTTAGGAACATAATACTCATGTCTTTTCATAATAACGGAGTTACATCACTCAGTGAAGCGGATTTGGATTTACTGTCTTTTCACAGCAGAAGGTTTTACAGCTGCAGGGGACGAAAAAAAAAAAAGCCAAAACCAGGGGAAAGATTTATAGTTCAACCTCCTTCTCCTTGTTTAGTGGCAGGTTCAGACAAATGCTCTATCAACACATTGACAGTGCTGCCAGCATTTACAGAGACTGGTGAAGAAAAAGATGTTTAGTGTCTTTGCACTTATTTCCAGGTTTTTATTTTCACAGAAATTGGAAATTATACAAATTTAAAAAACCCAAAGGTCTAACAAAACTTCCAGGCCAAATTATTAACATACGCCATAATAACCAATGCAAAAAAATAAAATCTCTACTCTACTCTACTCTACTCTTCTAACAACTGGAAACTAATTTGATCAGTTCGTACTCTGACTGTAAGATGACATCACAAAAAAAGGGAAGGGTTTCCTAATGAAGACGTAACAGAAATGTGCTTCACTTAAAATAACTTGTCAACACAGTTTTTCTTCTCTCTGAGCCTCAGCAGCATGTTGTATTTATAGAGAATATTGCAGTCATCAGACATAACCAAGATCATAAAGGTCCCATATTATGCTACATTTGGAAATAAAAAATATTAACAATGAGGCACCCACAGCAGTTTATCCCTTTGTGCAGAAAAATTCCTCTCAGGTTAGACAGACAGCCTTTACCATAACTCTCCATATTCAGCCCTCATCTTAACAAGCTGTTTTGGCTTTCTGCGTACCCATCCTCCTGAGGGCCACACAACCGTGACAATAACTCAGTTCGTAAAAATAACTTAGGTGGTATAATACGTTCGATGGAGGCTGTAGCTTGACTAATGGGCTGTAGCAAACTGCTCTGGACAGTCTATTTCCCCTGATGACATCATAAGGGGAAGGGTTTACAAACAGAGCATTTTGATTACAAAAAGTCTACGAGGCATGGAAAGGCAATAACAGCATTGAAAAGTTTTAATTTTTTTTTCTTTTTTTGTGAATCTCATACAAAGTCTTCCAAACACATAACACAATTAGAAAATGTTTATAATGTCAATCTTATAAATCTTATAAAAGAATGAGATGGTTTGGGAAAAAAAACAAGCCCTCCTTCTGGGAAAGCAATAACTTTCTTGTACATGCTTATTTGAAGCCAACATCCTCCTTAATTTCTTCTCGACAAGACAAACCTCAGCTTCCCTCTGCTCCTCTTTCAGCTCCCGCTGCTTTCGAAGACCAGCAAAAGCATCGGGGAATCCCCTGTTCAGGTCGACGCCATTATGGTTGAACCTAAAAATCACAGACGGATCGATTGATAATGTAAAAATGTAATACCTGATGCTACCTTACAGACTTTACTGAAAGGTATAATAATTATAAATAGAATAGAATTCAACTTCATTGTCATTACATTCAGAGATGGCAAAAGTGAACTCTCTGCATTTAACCCATCCCCTTAGGGAACAATGGGCTGCCATTGTGCGGCGCCCGGGGGCAGTGTGTGGTTAAGAGACTTGCTTAGGGACCCAGAGTGCAGGCTGTGGGGATCAAACCGGGCACTTGCAACCTTCTTAGAGCACAAGCGCACTGCTCAAACCCATTAGGCCATCAATCGCCCAGGAGTATTGGCCTAGAAAATAATGAAGTAGCACAGCACGTTTCTAATGCTTTCCTAAACTTAATCTGTTTAAATACGCAGAGCGACGCTTTGGAAAAGGGACTAATGATTTCAAAGGATAAGACTCCAGATTCCTGATGCATATGAGAGCAAAGACTGTAGCTGTTAAGACTGTGAAGGAAAGCTAAAAGGGTGGGAAACCAAACAGGTGTGACTGGAACCATAGAGCTGTCAGAAAGAAACACTGATACCAAGTCAGCATTAAAAAGCAAACGAATGAACAAATGTTTGTTCTCAAGACAGAAGGACCTTTCTGAACGAGAAAAACATCCATCCATCCGTCCATCCATCAATCCATGTCCACAGGAAGTGAGTGATTCCTTTTAACCCAGCAGCTGTTCAGAGCCAATATCTGAAAGTATTGCTAATCTGCATCATTGTTGAAGCAAACAATCCTAACGGTTGCTTGCTATGAAGCTAAAGCTGCAGAATCTGTGACATGATGGTGTAGACATGTAAAATAATCCAAATTCAAAGTCAGACTCAAATGTATAGGATCTTAACAAGTTATCTTTTTTCCTACTCAGTCTTTTCTTTTTTAATATATGAATCAGCTTCGGTTATATGAATTTGCAAAACATTACATTGCAAAACATAACTTAATTACAATTTGTAAAAAAAAAAAAAAACTATTCAGTTTTTTGCTTTTTTGTCACATTGAAGGTTCAGATTTACATGCTTTTTAAGCAGTAGACCATCACAAAGTGGCACACTAATGGTGGATTTGATTTAAAATGTAATAAATTAAAATCTAAACAAAATGTGCAGTTCTATTCTGCCTACATCTTTGATACCTCAAAATAAAATACAGTGCAGCCAAATGGCTTCAGAATATGTCTAAACAGTGTACAGGGTTGGGCGCTACAATAATGGTCTACCCTGAAGAACCAGGAAAGCTAATGTTCATGCATTTCACAAATTTAATCATCCAATAAAATAAGCAGTGATATTTCTTGCCAAAAGGCATTTAGAAAATGAAGCTGTTTAATGACTAATAAAACAAAACAAGCTAGTTTGTGTCCCATGACTCTTTGTAACTATTGACGATTTCCTAATTACTGTTTGTGTCAAATATTTTGGAGTAATCTGTCTTTGCACAAGTGTACACGTTTTTAGACAAACAGCATTTAAGATCCTTTTCAGTCAGGATACAAAACATTTCAAAGTACTGAATCAGCACTAGTGAAGTTTTTAATGACTTGTTTTTAATAACTGATTCTGGCAGTTCAGCCATTTTAGTGCTTTTAGATCTTAGTGCTGTTTGACACAGTTCTTTTAGACCACCTGAGGGACTGGGTGGGTGTCAGGGAGACTACTCTGCAGAGGTTTAGATCCTACCGGTCAGAGAAGTCTTTCTCTGTCTGGCTGGGGGACTCCACAATATCCTCTGCCCCCTTTTATTGCGGTGTCCCTCTGGGTTCTATCCAGGGACCTTTATTATTTGCACTATACCTCCTCTCTCAAAGAGATTTTTACTAAATATGGTATAGTGTACCATTTCTATGCAGATGATTGTCAAATTTATTTGCCAAATGCTAAAAACAGCCACTGCCTTATGACGCCTCTACTTGACTGTCTGGGTGACATCAAGGCTTGGTAATCAAAAGAATTTCTGAAGCTTAATAAGAGCAAGACAGAGGTGATGGTGTTGGCAGTGCCATCTCTGATTTGTCACCTTTTAAGGATTGTGTACGTGTGTGTACATGTCACCATAGAAAGCTACACTATATTGCCAAAAGTATTTGCTCACCTGCCTTGACTCACATATGAGCTTAAGTGACATCCCGTTCCTAATCCATAGGGTTCAATATGACGTCGGTCCACCCTTTGCAGCTAGAACAGCTTCAACTCTTCTGGGAAGGCTGTCCACAAGGTTTAGGAGTGTGTTTATGGGAATTTTTGACCATTCTTCCAGAAGCGCATTTGTGAGGTCGCACACTGATGTTGGACGAGAAGGCCTGGCTCTCAGTCTCCGCTCTAATTCATCCCAAAGGTGTTCTATCGGGTTGAGGTCAGGACTCTGTGCAGGCCAGTCAAGTTCATCCACACCAGACTCTGTCATCCATGTCTTTATGGACCTTGCTTTGTGCACTGGTGCACAGTCATGTTGGAAGAGGAAGGGGCCAGCTCCAAACTGTTCCCACAAAGTTGGGAGCATGGAATTGTCCAAAATGTCTTGGTATGCTGAAGCATTCAGAGTTCCTTTCACTGGAACTAAGGGGCCAAGCCCAGCTCCTGAAAAACAACCCCACACCATAATCCCCCCTCCACCAAACTTTACACTTGGCACAATGCAGTCAGACAAGTACCGTTCTCCTGGCAACCGCCAAACCCAGACCCGTCCATCAGATTGCCAGATGGAGAAGCGCGATTCGTCACTCCAGAGAACGCGTCTCCACTGCTCTAGAGTCCAGTGGCGGCGTGCTTTACACCACCGCATCCGACGCTTTGCATTGCACTTGGTGATGTATGGCTTGGATGCAGCTGCTCGCCCATGGAAACCCATTCCATGAAGCTCTCTGCGCACTGTTCTTGAGCTACATGAAGTTTGGAGGTCTGTAGTGATTGACTCTGCAGAAAGTTGGCGACCTCTTCGCACTATGCGCGTCAGCATCCGCTGACCCCGCTCCGTCAGTTTACGTGGCCTACCACTTCGTGGCTGAGTTGCTGTCGTTCCCAAACACTTCCATTTTCTTATAATACAGCTGACAGTTGACTGTGGAATATTTAGGAGCGAGGAAATTTCACGACTGGATTTGTTGCACAGGTGGCATCCTATCACAGTTCCACGCTGGAATTCACTGAGCTCCTGAGAGCGACCCATTCTTTCACAAATGTTTGTAAAAACAGTCTGCATGCCTAGGTGCTTGAATTTATACACCTGTGGCCATGGAAGTGATTGGAACACCTGATTCCAATAATTTGGATGGGTGAGCAAATACTTTTGGCAATATAGTGTATTTCAGATTGGACAAACAAATGAAAAATGTTTTAAAATCGTGTTTTTATTAATCTCTGTATTTTATCGAAAGTAGAACTGTTTTTATCTTTTAAGCAGGTTTTACACTCTTTTATTTCTAGCCGTCTGGACAACTGCAATGCACTTTATTCAGGCATTAGCCAATGAGCCCTCTCCTGTCTGCAGTTAGTCCTAAATGCAGTTCTTGTTCTCTGCACTGGTATTTGTTTGTTTTAGAATCGATTGTAAGATTTTATTGTTTGTGTTTAGAGCTTTGAATGGGCTGTCTAGTCAATACATTACCGACCGGTATGTTCTTTAAGGTCTGAGGGCCATCTTCAGTTAATAGTGCCTTAGATGAGACTTAAAACCAGAAGGGAAAGAGCCTTATCTGTTCTTGGTCCCAGACTTTGGAATGCTTTGTCCCTTCTTATACAATCAGCCTCTACATTGTAGTGTTTTAAGTCTCTTCTTAAGACCCACTTTTACTCTTTGGCTTTTAACACCGCATAATTGTGTATTTATTTTAAATTCTGAATGCTTTTTTTGTGTGTGTGTGTGTTTTGGGTTCTTTTGTTTGTTTTTATGTACAGCACATTGGAAACATGTTTTGTTGTGAAATGTGCTGTATAAATATAGTGGATTTGATTTATTAGATTGAGAAACAAGGGCAAACATTTAAATGATCCCTAAATGGGATTTTTTCTTCTTACCTAAGAATATGGTGAATACTGGTGCTGGCAGTATCATGGGAACAGGGAAACTGGTCAGAGTTGACAGAAAATAGGTACCGGTACTTAAAAAAGGACATGACAGGATGGGACGATCCTAAATATAAAGGAGTTAGGATGGTCAAAGTTCGGACCTGAACCTGATTAATGTGTAAGATTTTAGAACTGGTCCTCACAGCTGCTCTTAATTCATTTAACTGCAGAGAAAGAGGTTCCAACAAAGTACCACCTCAGGAGGGTCAGATTACAAATAGATGCTACGATTTTCCTAACTTTAAAAACCATCCAACAATTTCCTTCCACTCCACCACTAATGCACTTCTGTTGGCCTACCACATAAAGACCCAGGAAAATGCACTAAGGTTTGTCATTTTAAAGACCAAACATAATGTCTGAGCTGCTGAAAATAAACATTTTTTTGCTGTTAGATGAATCAGCTTAAGTCAGGTGGAATAAAAATCTGAACCAAATCCAGGGAAAAAGCTTCTGTTTGTATAACAGGACTTTTGTTTGTTTGCATACGGCATTAAAAACACGAAATGAGTGCAGACCACACACTCGGTTTACCCCCCAAACAAATCTAAACCCCACTTCCTGAGGTGAGTCCCATTAATGAGGCCGCACAAATGGATTTTCACCGTCTCTTTGTGTTAGACAAAAAGACACACAAACAGGGACAAGTCCTAAAAACATGACAGAAGACGAAGTCAAAACATAAATAATTAGGGGTTTTAAGGCTTTAACCGTGTCTGCAGCCTGAATGAGATCAGTGTTTGGCTTCCTGCATATCTGGATAGTTTGGGCGTTGGAGCGTTCTCTGTTTAATTTTTGTACAACAAACATGATCTCATACCAAAGTAAAACTAGCTATTTAGACTCTTTGTTACAGATCAGCTGTCCTTTGAGAAAAAAGAAATCCAATTTTCTTTAAAAAAGAGAGAGGGAAAACAGATGGAGCTGATGTATCCAGTGCAGTTTGAAAAAAAGATGCTTCTATCATTTATTTTATTTTATTGGGCTTTAAGAAATAGGAAATAAAATAAAAAGAATTATTTAAAAAATGATTTTGCACACCTTGTATTAAATGGTACACAATAGCAGAAAAGATTTCAAACGTAGGAACCTTTTAGTTATTAATACAGTATGTTGCCATAAAATGTTTTGTAAGCTTTACACATGTGGCCGAGTTTCGTTCTACTAATTTAGCTTTTTTGGGCCTAATTTGAACATTCAGTGTTTTTTTTTCTTCTTCTCTTATTATCCTTAAAGATGTTTGAGAGAACATTAGGGAGGCTCCCACAGGAAGCTCATTAGAGTGCAAAACAGTAAACTAAGCAGGGGGTGGGGGGTGGTTGGTGGGTACATCCCAAATAATTAAATATCTGATTAAAAGAAGAATTTTACTTTTCCTTTTAGTTACTTTTTTGTGTGTGCAAAAAATCCTTTTACAGTGAATTAAAAAAGGCTAAAAGTATTCGTACCATTTTAAGATTTCTACTAATAAAAAACCAAAAGGCACATTTTCTTTCTCTCCTACTTTAATAAGCACAACAGCGCACTAAGTTATAATACAATCATATTCGGCTTTTTTCGAGAAAATGTAGAACAGGGTGTGAATATTTTCCGAAGTTACTTTAAATCCATTCATTTGTTTACCTTCCCTGGCTGAACAGGCAGTGTGTATCAGCTTCATCGAAACCATCTGGGTTCATCGTCGGCAGGATGTGGATCCGAGTGCTGTTCAGCAGCTGCAGCACCAATGTTTCCTTGTCACGGTAACCTCGCACCAGCTCTTCAATCAACTGGAGCAGAAGCACTCGGCCCAGGACCTACATCACAAGCATGAGTTTCATGTGTGTTAAAAAGGAGACTAGAAGACAAATATTTATACTAAGTAAATTTCCTAGTGTTGGAGTAACACTTTAAGAGTTTACGCTCACTGCGAAAAGGATCTAGAAATAAGTAAAACATTCTTAAATTAAGTGTATTAACCCTTAATTTATGCAGGTAAATAAGATGATTTCCCAATGGAATGAGTATCAATTACTCTTAAATATTATGCACTTGAAATAATACAATATGATTGTTTTTTCTTATTTTCAGTGTAAATTTTCTTGTTCCATTGGCAAAGTGTGTCACTTACCTCTTCAATTCAAGACAAAAAGCACTTAAGAAAAAAATACTTATTTTAAGAAAAAAATACTCAGAAAACTCAGCCTGTCTGCGTGTGTGTTGCAGTTAACACAGATGTTCTCCTACCCCTTCCACAGACATTCTGCTGCACCTCTCCCAAATTGTAGGTGACCGCAGACAGGAGGCCTCTGATTGGTCAAATCTACATCTGCTCTAGACTATGCGTATTTCCTGTTTGGTACCTTACCTGCTTGTTTTGTTTGTATGACCGCCATTGTGGAAAACGACTCGTGAAGATGGACCAGCTAGAGGAGCGATGTGCGCGAGAACGCTCGGACCGTTTTTCCACCTGGATCCCCGCTTTTTTTCGCCCTCATGTCCCTCCGTTATCACACAAACTTGCCCCAACATCCTCGCCTCCTCGGCCGTTTCTAGACCCACAGCTAGTTCCTGATTGTCCCTCTTGCATTGGGGCGTGGACTAAGACTACGCTTCAAAATTTGGCATATATCAAAAATATCAGAATCAGAATCAAGTTTATTGCCAAGTAGGTTTGCACTTACAAGGAATTTGACTTGGTGTTGTTGGTGCAGACAAAAAACAAAACAAAATAGCAAAATAAGATAGAATATATATAAAATATATATACACACAGAAGCTATATACAAACAGTAGACTGTGCGTTAATGTAACGCAGAAATCCTGAATGGGGGAGAGAAACATTGTTCAGTGTCACGGGCGGGTCTTGGCCTTGTTGATAAGGCCGATAGCAGATGGGAAAAAACTGTTTTTGTGACGGGAGGTTCTGGTCCTGATGGACCGCAGCCTCCTGCCAGAGGGTAGTGGCTAAAATAGTCTGTGACTGGGGTGCGAGGGATCAGCCACAATCTTCCCTGCACGCCTCAGAGTCCTGGAGGCGTGCAGCTCCTGGAGAGATGGGAGGTTGCAGCCAATCACCTTCTCTGCAGACCGGATGACACGCTGCAGTCTGCTCTCTGTGTCATACCTGTGACAAGCTCACTGCGACACACTGCTGAAGGTATAACCAGCCCTTTTCTTTAACACTGCAACATTTACAACAAATCTGGAAATGACTCTTGTTTCTATGGCGATTCCTCCCCTTTTAGGGGAGCATATGGGAGATCCACATAAGGTACAGAGAAGGCATCAAACTGGATTGAAACCACTTTTTGACTCATCAGTGTTAAGAAACACAAATGCACTTACATGTTTTATGCAGGTTCAACACAGTTATTTCCAGTTTTGAAAAAAAAAACATTTAGAGCTGAAATGTAATGGGAGTGAAGTAGAGTTTGGGGTGGTGAGCTCTGGACTCTGGGCCCAATTGACATATAAACACAAGTCCTAGAGCAGCAGAAAACGCAGTGGACTATAAAGTTAGTGTTAAAATATGTAAATGCAGACCTTGGTGGCTTAATTTGAGACATTTTTAGTTGAAACCTAAAAAGTATTAAAAGTTGCACATTGTCTTACTGTAAGTGGAAAATCAATTCAAATGTTACAGCCATTTACTAAGAGAACTAAGTCATGAGTTAATGATTACTTCTATGAATCGATTAATTATCGGATGGACGTTTATTCCTTACAGAGAACTTTTTACGAAAAGAAACCAGGTGAAACTTGTGGAAATCGGGATAGAGTATATTGACAGATGAAAACATTTTTTGGGGTTAGCATGGGTTGGTATCTAAAATGCAAAATGTGTACATATTTTTTAAATCTAGGTATAACTGCTGTTGTAAGCGGTGCACTTTGTCAGCTAAAGGCATGTTTTACAGTCTCTATATTCCAATTAATGATTGATTATTGAATTAGTTGAATATTTCATTAATCGAATGATCACAATTATTCGGACTAATTGTTCACTGCCTTTACAATTTTCTCTTCCACAAAGACCAAGTAGTTCTGCCAGTAAATTTCATTTAAATAAATATAATTTAATGGGGATGGTGCCAGTCCTTGTTATACAAAGGAAAAGCAAATGTAAATAATTTTAAAACTGTTAAGTGTAAAAAAACTGGTAGTAGTCACCAACAGGACCTTCTTTTCTCTGACTGAGTTACTTATTTAAATATTTCTACTTTATCTTTTTGAATCCTGGAGAAAATGATGAAAAAAAAGTAGAATAGTGACACACGTGCTTCAATGTTCAGTTAACCCTTAGTTACAAAAAGACTTAAATAAACCAGGAAAAATAAACATAATCTTTATGTTGAATTGATGTGAGGCAGGAATGGAAATCCAATCCAAGGAGGCGGTTTATATTTGAACAAAGGGGCTCATTGGATGGTGGGGATCGGGAGACAAGAGAAACTTTGTGAATAAATGTGAGCTCTGGGAATAAGAAACAGAGAAGGGTGGGAGAGGTGAGAAGGTGTATAATGAAGGAACATTTCAAAACACAAGTCAGGACAAGCTTTGCCTCCAGCCATCGTTCTTCTCTCCTTTAACACCCACCCAAACTTCCTTTCTGCTGCTGTCACACTCTAACACAAACGCCTAGGTTAAATATACAGTCGGATGGATCATAAAGTAGCCAGCAAAGAAACATTTCTGTTTGGTGTTGTGTGTCTGAGATCTTGATCTTTATTGTCCCAAAGGTCCATTGTTTTCAAAACACACATCTTTCCTGCCAGGTTCCTTTATCTAATGTAAATGTTGTCTCACTGTAAGACTTAAACACACAAACAGGATTAATCCAACTCCAATTTGTTACATCGATTGTCCATCCAAGAACATGTTTACTTTTTAAGTTTATATTAGAACCAGTGTGGCTGTGGTGGGTAAGGAGTTAAAAAAATTGTAGAACAATCTAGTAAAGAAACGTGGGAATTTCTCATTATCTTCCACTAAAAAATACAATTATTTAACTATCCAAATGGGCAAATGCAAAACCAAAGCTTGAATAAGAAAACATGCAATATCCTCAAACAATATTTACTTTCAAAAAACTGCTTAGTGGAACATTTCCTCCAGCTAAAGTTGAAGAAATTTACCACTTTATTAGGAACGTCTTGCTGGTTCCAGGTATGAGATGTGGAGTCAAGTCATTTCCATGGCATGAATTTGTTCCATCCAGCCACTGAACCAGATTAATTAAATGGTGAATTAAAGTGTGCAGATTGGACTCACCTTGTTCAGTGGCTGGACAAATCAAATACTTGGTATAGAGATGACCTGATGCCTCCACATCTGCCACCTGTGTGACCCACCATCCATCCATCCATTTTCTTTCACGCTTAATCCCAAGCAGGGTCGCAAGGGGTGCTGGTGCCTATCTCTAGCTGTCAACGGGCGAGAGGCGTGTGTGACCCACCATTCTTGGTAAATCATGAGACGCAATCTACACTCCAGCTAATTCTGGTCCTACCATCTGATTGGTGCAGCTGCCTCCAATAAGCTGGGAAACCACATTCAACCCCTGAACCACCATCAAACCCTCTGAACAGGCCACAGGGACAACATGCTCAGGCATGAAGGTGTGGATGGTTGCTTAGAAATCCATGGGTGGGTCAAAAATACTATGGCTAAGGTCTTACTTGGACAACAACAGATACAACATGTCCAGAGGTGCCTCATTTGATGACTCAGAAAGCTCCAGAAGAAGGTTTCAAGTAAGATGGAATTACTATGAACTGAATGACTGACAATTTTCACCAGCATGTTTCAAGTAAGATATTTCAAGGTGGAGTGCCCAAATAACCAGACTGGAGGAACGGCATAGCTGGTATAGTGAAATAGCTATACAAGAATAATTGTTATTTCACACCTTTATATATTTTTTTTCTTCTCAAATTGATGTATCTTGGGAATAAACCTTTAACCAATTGAAAATATTAATAACTACAGTCACATTTCTAATGACAATGCAGTTTTGGGTTGAACAACAGAGCTGTTGGTAAGTTCCATTTCCAACATCTGAGTAGGAAATTGTAACTGGAATGCCCCAGAAGGTCAAAGCCATCAGTCCGAAAGTAAGGGTAACACACCTAACTAATTTAGAACAGGATGTTGCTCTGCTGTAAACATACACACAATACACATCAGTATATCGGTCAGTGTTATTTTAGTAACAATGGCCCTCGTGGCCATATACTCTGAATGTGAGTGCACAAGCAGGAAACTGTACCTTCATAAATATGTTACCTACTTCCATAAAAAAAAACAGCCACATACACCACTTCCAATGCCAAACAGCTTTTGTTGACCCTGGAATGAATGTGGGGGGTGGCATCTCCCGCAACTGAAAAAAAGCCATCAATCGATTGACAAAATGCAAATGCAAAGACTTGCTAGGATGAGATTCACTGACCAGTGGTCACTAAACATCTATCCAAGATGTTTATGCTTGCCTCCACAGTGCAGGGTTTATTGGAGACTTCCTCCAGAATTTAACCCTAACCCTTGAAGTGGAGAGGAAGGAAAGGCCTGTCTCTAGTCCTTAAGAGATCAGTTTGGGTTTGTCTTTTGTGTCAGTTCTTCAAAATAAACAGTATTATTTCCAAAAATAGTATTTGACCAAGCTGTTGACAAGCAGAAAAAGGAGGTAGTTAAGTTTGGCTCTCCTACAAACAGTCCCTTTTTTGACAAGTGCAGTGTTTAAATGGTTTAATTTACAAAGTAGCTTTTTCTTGAGAGAAAAAGAGTCCTCAATTAAAGACAAAAGCTTTTATCC